TCCCTGTATGCCTCACCTGTGGCCTCCCCATTCACCCCCCGCTGTCTTACTCTCCCCATTGCCAGGATGCCAGGTCCCGTTTTCCGCCTCTCCCTCTTCTCTTGTTCGTTGTTTCGGTCTGCGTTACGCATCTTCCCCCTTTCTGACTTTTGTCTTTATCTCCCACCCCTTACTCACTCTCTCCACTTCTCTCAATCTCCCCCTCTTTCTTCCTCGTCCCTCCTTCTCTTTCCTCCGCTTTCTTTCCTTTTCCCTCCATTCCCCCTCCCTTGGCTAGACACGCTAACCCTCCATGCCGCCCGCCCGCCCTCCTCCGTGTTCCCGGCACGTCGTTACGCCCATCGTCTCGTTGCTTTCTTCTGGATCGACTTCATTGAGGGACAAAATCCCAGCCAGGGAATTTTGTTTTTGATGGAAGTGTCGTCGACTTTCGTCCTTTTTTGTCTGGGTTTGTTGTGACGGAGAGGTGGGTTCTTCTTATCGGGGTCGAGCGCTTTACTCGCGCGCTCACTTGCGGGGAAAGAGTTGCCGGCCGGCATTTATTCCCGGAAACATGTTTTATCGTGTTCGCCGTGGCATTCGGCGCCGTAGATGTCGATTTGGCATTTGATGCAAACACGGCCGGCGCAAAGATGTTTCTCTCGGGGCATCGTTATACATATTGGATTTTTTTTCGAATGGTGAGCCAAAGTTTTTGTATTTTTTAGGGCGGTACCTAATGGGTTGGCATCAGCGTGGCGGGAGGAGAGGAGGGCGAGGCGGTAGGGAAGGGGGGGAGGGGGTAGGTAGCTTGCGTGGTGCGTTGGTCGGGACGCGTGGGGTCGCGTCCTTCCTATTTTCACGAACTCTAACTACAGTCTGTAAAGGGAAACTGTCACCTCTCCTCACACCTTCACCGCACCCCTCCCCCCCCCTCGTCTTGTTCTGATTCCCGCCCTCCTAGTCGTCTTCCTCCCCTCCTCCTCCTCCTCCTCCTGCCTCTCCTCTCTCCTTGCCCTTTCTCTTGTGATTTTACGAGGCTGGTGGGGGCCGGGGGGACAAGTTGAACTTTACATTTTGTATATATTTAATGCGAGAGGGAGCAGAGAGACAGTTCGAGAGGAAGTGGAAGGGAGACGCGCTTGTCCCTTCCGTGATACCTAGTTCGGCCACATATCGCCGCACCATATGTTCCCGCTCCGCCATGTTGCCTTCACGATAGCCGGGTCGCTCCCTCCCTCCCTCCCTCTCTCCATCCATTTCCTCCATCCTTCTTCCGTTAACGGCTTGTGCATTCCCCGCCGTTCCCCGCCGCCCTTCCGCCCGTTGCCTCTCGATACTCCACATCGGCTTTAACGCGAAGGTCGTTATCGCTTTCTTACCGGCGATGGTCTCCTTGCTTCGGCTTACCCGTGACTCACCCTCAGGGCCGCGGAGGATGCCCTGATTCACCCCGATTCGCCCCGCCTTCCCCTAGCCCGCGAAGGGACGCCGTCGGCCCGTGATCCGTCCCGTCGACCTGGGTCATGACCTCTTTTTAAGGAAATATTTCTGTCGCGAGGAGGAGCACCTCGTTCTGGAATAAAGGTCGCCGGAATTACCCTTCATATTCGTGTCAATTGGGCTTAATTTGTTTAGATGTATTAGACATCTGTCTCTGTCTTCTCGTTTTTTTTTTTTAATCAGTTTTACTTGGATCTTCTTTCCCCTTCGCGCTTGGACGCTGTTCGTGTCCCTTGGCCTCGTCTCACGATCGATTCCTCCTTGGATGCAGCGCTACGGCCTAGGCCAGGCGGTCAGTGCATAGGTCCATGTTGCAGGGCGGCGCTGCAACTCCCGGCGCGGGCTGGCTGCATGCGCCAGAAGGAAGCGGTGCGGTTTCGCCGTGAACTCGTGAACCGAGGCCGGTGCAATGTGGCGGCGGCGTCGAGGTCGGCGTGTGCACGCTCGGGGACGGCGTGGTCACTCGATTCACAGAATGCTTGGTTTCAGAATACTTGGTTTTGGCCGAGCCTGCGGTGTTATTGTTCTAGTATTTTTTTGTCTTATTTGAGTCTTGAAATAATGAGCAAATGGTGGTTGTCTTAGAAAGCAGCAGCCTCTTTGGTTTGTTTGTTTGCTTGCTGCACAATGCACCCCGCGCCCTTTCATCGCTTCTTCACGCTGGCGAGTCGAGGAAAAAGAAAAACGCGTTGATGTGACGAACCAACGAAGGAAATGAATAGCGTGGGTGACTCACTCGCCCCCGTGACTCACCGTGGCACCATGTGGCAGATATGACCCGGCGTGGGTAGAGAGGCACCGTCCGACGCTAGGGAGGAGTGGCACTTGGTTGTAGCGGGAAGTAACTTGATATGCGGCTTTGCAGGGTCGGGGGAGGAAAGGGGGGGAGATGGGCGTGGTAGGAGGTAGATCTGTATTTCGAGTGGCGTACTGGAGGTCTTACAAATACCTTAAATGTGTCGGACGGTGGAGGTGATCGCCGTGCCCCGTTTGTCACTGCGGGAGCGCCGTTTTTTTCCCTTTCTTTTCTCTTAGCTGTTTGGCCCTTTGCCCCCGTTTTTATTTTATAGTCTCTCTCTCTCTCTCTCTCTCTCTCTCTCTCTTCTCTCTCGTCTTCTCTCTCTGCCAGATCTCTCTCTCTTTCTCTCTCTCCTTCTCTCCTTCTCCTCTCTCCCTTCTCTCTCCTCTCTCTCTTCTCTCTCTCTTCTCTCTTTCTTTCTTTCTCTTCTCTTCTCTTCTCTTCTCTGTCTTCTCTTCTCTTTCTTCTTCTCTTCTCTCCTCTCCTCTCTCTCTCTATTCATCCTCTCCTTCTCTTCTCTTCTCTTCTTTCTCTTCTCTTCTTCTTCTCTTCTCTCTCTCTCACACACAACACACCACCACACACACACACACACACACACAACACACACCACACACCACACACACACACACACACACCTTTCTCTATCTCTGTCTATCCTATTTTTCACATTCTTTCCCCTTATTTGTATCTTTGTATCTATTTATCTCTCTCTCTTCCTTCCCCCCCACCTTTTCCTGTTGAGTTTTACGGTATATCTTTATTATTTCTTGAATGGAAAAAAGATACTGTGTTATATATAGACTTTCCTGCCAGCGCTCAGCTTTCCGGCGTGTCCCTGTTCTATATCCCTTTCCTCCCCCCCCCCCCATTAAGCGTCTACCCGTGCGAACTGAGGATGAAGAGACCCCTTACGTAATGTTCGGGGAGGATCATAGGCCTTAAACACCTCTCGCGTAGTCGCGCCGGCTGCTAGTAGTAGTAGTAGTGGTGTGTGGTTAGGCCCAACGCGGACAACACGTTACATCGTTCGCAGCAGGGTCGTTGTGAAAGAGCCTTGTCCCCCTCCCTACCCCCCTACCCCCCCCTCGTCTTTTTCCCACACCGCGGCATAGGCTGATTCTCGTCCACTTTTCTTTGTTTTTATTCTTTTCTTTTTTCTTTATCGGTTCTCTATGCTACTGGAGGGTATGTGGTCATCCGGTCCGAACGCACACGGAGTATAGAAACGTTTACGACTCCACTGCCAAAACTACGCTGCTCAGTGCTCAGTGGCTGGGTGTTAGACCGCCGGGTACTCTTGCTCCTCAGATGTTTGTCAATGGGGAATGATCGAATGGGGACACCTGTAGCTTGATGTGGAAAAAAAGAGTGTTGGGGTTGAGGGTTGGATTTCAGTATTATGTAACTGAAGATGGCTGAGCGGTGGGAGGGCCGGGCTGAAGGGGGATTTGTTAAATACATGTATAAGGAGAATGATAGTTCTCTCTCCTTCTCCATATCCTGTCCCCCTCCCCTCCCCTCCCCCCCCTCCCTCCCCCTCTTTCACCCACTCTTTCCTATCCACCCCTTTCTCTCTCTCTCTCTCCATTCTCCCTCTCCCCCTCTCTCTCTCTCTCTCATTTCTCTCCTCTCCTCTCCTCTCTCTCTCTCTCTCTCTCTCTCTCTCTCTCTCTACTCTCTCTCTCTCTCGCTCTCTTCTCTCTCTCTCTCTTCTCTCTCTCTCTCTCTCTCTCTCTCTCCTCTCTCTCTCTCTCTCTCTCTCTCTCTCTCTTTTCTCTCTCTCTCTCTCTCCTCTCTCTCTCTCTCTCTCTCTCTCTCTCTCTCTCTTCTCTTCCTCTCTCTCTCTTTTCTCTCTCTCTCTCTCTCTCTCTCTCTCTCTCTCTCTCTCTCATCTTTCTCTCTCTCTCTCTCTCTCTCTCTCTCTCTCTTCTCTCTCTCTCTCTCTCTCTCTCTCTCTCTCTCTCTCTCTCTCTCTCTCTCTCTCTCTCTTCTCTTCTCTCTTCTCTCTCTCTCTCTCTCTTTCTCTCTCTCCCTCTCTCCTCTCTCTCCTCTCTCTCTCTCTCTCTCTCTCTCTCTCCTCTCTCTCTCTCCTCTCTCTCTCTCTCTTCACTCTCTCTCTCTCTCTCTCTCTCTCTCTCTCTCTCTCTCTCTTTCTCTCTCTCCTCTCTCTCTCTCTCTCTCTCTCTCTCTCTCTCTCCTCTCTCTCTCTTCTCATCTCTCTCTCTCTCTCTCTCTCTCTCTCTCTCTCTCCTCTCTCTCTCTCTCTCTCTCTCTCTCTCTCTCTCTCTCTCTCTCTCTCTCTCTCTCTCTCTCTCTCTCTCTCTCTCTCTCTCTCTCTCTCTCTTCTCACCCTCCCTCTCTCTCTCTTCTTCACCCTCCCTCTCTCTCTCTTCTCTCCTCTCTCTCTTCTCACCCTCCCTCTCTCTCTCTCTCTCTCTCTCCTCTCCCTCCTCACCCTTCTCTCTCTCTCTTCTCACCCTTCCCTCTCTCTCTCTTCTCACCCTCCTCTCTCTCTCTTCTCACCCTCCCTCTCTCTCTCTTCTCACCCTCCCTCTCTCTCTCTCCCCTCACCCTCCCTCTCTCTCTCTCCCTCACCCTCCCTCTCTCCCTCCCTCTCTCTCTCTCCCCCTCTCTTACTCTTGCCCTCTTCCTCTCTGTGATTCCATGACCTGCTCTTTACTATTCTTTCGTTGCATATTGTCTAATATTCTTATTAAATACTTTTTTCCTTCACCCTCAGGTTGCTGAAGAAGGAGCGCGACTTGAACGCTGCCGAGAAGGCCCTGACTG